GGGGTGGAGTCTGGGGAGGGGAGATGGGTTTGGTGGGAGACGCGGGAGTGGGAGGGAGGGTGAGAAGCCCAGAGAGGGGCTTGTGCCCCAGGGTGGAGAGAGCCCCAGGGACCCCGGTGTTAGGAAGCTGCCTGGGATGAGGACCGGGTGGGTCCACACGGCCACTGGGATTCCATATTCTGCTGGTTCTGTGTGTGCCAGACCTGGCCCTCTGTCCTTTCCAGGGCTCCGTAGTAGGATGGTTAGTAGCCTGGCTGCAGGAGGTGCTGGGTTGGGGAAGGGTGAGTGTGACAGTCAACTCCTCCCACCGAGGCAGCACACTGCTGCTGGAAATCATGAAGAGTTAGCCAGGCGACGCTCTGTGAAGCACAGGTGACAGGAGTGTGTGTGCATCTGCTGCTGTGGTGTGTGTGGTAGGTACGCGTGGGACCCAGACATGGGGTATTGTGTAAGGGTGTGCACGAGTGCTGACACGTGGATTATGCTAACAACAGAAAGGCCGGAAAAGTCCGCTAGCCATTCATGTGTTCAGTTTATCTGTAAAGATATTTTAAACCAAAGTCAAAGGTTCAACCCAGAGAGACAGCGAGTTCTGAACTGAAGCAAGGACAGCAGCCCTGAGTGGGCGCCCACAACCTTGACCATGACCTTGCAGTAGTGCAAAGAGGTTGGGCACGCGCTGTTGGTAATTGAGCAACTGCATTAAGTATATGAGCGCACAGGACATCACCCTCCTGTTAGAACACAGCCCTGCTCCTGTGCTGAAAGGTATCAAGGAGGCGCACCTGTCCAGAATGCTTCCTTATGCACAAACCAGTGATTTGGTCCAGCCCTGAGCTCCCAGCCTCCTGGCTTCACAGCGAGGAGGAGCCATGTGCGTGGCCGAGGAAGGACCTTCTGCACACCTCCCTGCGCTCAGCCATGGGTTCCCTTCCATCTTGGGTGCCTTTCCGGGTTCTGGCTTGGGTGCCGTGGTCCAGGACAGTGGGCAGCTTCTGAACATTCCAAGAGAACAGTGGGGAAGGGTTCACAGTGGCTGCAGGCAGTGATCTCATGGAGACGTCTTTCTGTGTAGTTTGAATTATCACAGGAACCCACGTGATACTTAGGACCTACAACCCAGGCAACTTAGGTGAAAAACTTGGTGGCGTGGGCTGGCTGTGATGTGGATTTCCTTTTTATTTTTATTTTTTAAACAAAAATGTTTATAACTTTGAGTTATTTTAAAAGAAGCCGTAGAATATAGAAGTAAAGAGAACAGGGTGTTCCTACTCTTTCAGCTTTTGTACTTGAAATCTATCTAGATCATGACCTCAAGGGCTGGCAGAGCAGACATAGGCTGCTTTCCTAACCCATCAAACGGCAGCTTCCTTCTGGTGGAGTTATGTGTGTGGCAGAAAAGAACTGACGACTCTCTGAGCGGCAGGATGCTCAGCCCGTGGCTACTAAAGCTACGTGTTTTTGTGCAGCTATTTTGTGAAATGGATTAAGAGGAGGCAGGGCAGGAGGGGAGCAGATGGGATGAGTGAGTGTGCTGTGATGAATGTCAGCTGCACAGCCCTGATGTCCCCTGGGCTGAGTGCAGGGAATGTCTCTGAGGTGGAGCTGGCCGTGAGAGCCTGGTGGAGTGTGACGGGTAGGCTGTGCTTCTCACCTTTCCATGTTGCTGCCCACAGTCATGGAAGTCAACAAGAGGGACATAGTCTTCCTGGTGGATGGCTCATCCAGACTGGGGCTGGCCAACTTCAATGCCATCCGAGACTTCATTGGCAAAGTCATCCAGAGGCTGGAGATTGGACAGGACCTCATCCAGGTGGCAGTGGCTCAATACGCAGACACTGTGAAGCCTGAGTTCTACTTCAATACCCACCCCAGCAAAAGGGAAGCTGTGAACGCAGTGCGGAGAATGAAGCCCATGGAGGGCCCAGCCTTGAACACAGGCTCCGCCCTGGACTTTGCTCGCAACAACCTGTTCCTCAGTGCAGTAGGCTCCCGGGCTGCCGAAGGCGTCCCTAAGCTCCTGGTGCTGGTCACAGGTGGTAAGTCCCTCGATACTGTCAGCCTGCCCGCCCAGGAGCTGAAGAGGAGCGGCATCATGGCCTTTGCCATTGGGAACAAGGCCGCTGACCAGGCTGAGCTGGAAGAGGTCGCTTTTGATTCCTCCCTGGTGTTTATCCCGGCTGAGTTCCGAGCCGCACCCCTGCAAGGCATCCTGCCTGGCCTGCTCTCGCCCCTTAGGACCCTCTCCGGAACCACTGAAGGTAAGGTGGTGTGGCTCACCGTGGGGAAATAAAACAGGCTGGGTCAGTGCTTAGCCAAGAGTGCCATTCCATGTGGGAAATGACAGCAACAAACAGGGCTGATCTCAGGCTTCCCTTTGCTCCCTCAAGAACCACAGACAGCGTAGGAGAATGTTGTTGCCTGTATCCTCCACCCAGAGCTGCTGGGCAGTGTCCTGGGGTCAAGGCTGTGGCTCCATCCCACCTGCCCCATGGCGTGCAGCATCCCCAGGGACCCCTTCAGGTGAAGGCGTGGTAAGGGAGGTGTGAAGGCTGATGGCAGTCCTTGGGCTCCCTCACTTAATATGACTGCAAGTATTTTTCAGACAGGGTGAAGTTCTGTAACCTGTGAATTAGGTAAATGCAATTCTCTGTCCATAACAAAGGCATGACTCCTGTAGGGTAAGGCTTCTTGTGTGACTTGGTGCATGCCCTCCTGCATTGATTTCTGCTTTCTTTCTCTAAAACTGATTTTAGATGCTGTTCGAGTCTCTCTGTCTCTGTCTTTCCTTAAGACTCCTAATCTACTGTTTTATAGCCAAAGTTCAACTTCATGAACATAGGACAAAATTAGTGTAGATTACAGTGAGACCAGAGAAAAAAATAAATAAGTTCTTTTTTGGGGGGATTAGCTCTTAGGAGGTAGGATTTTGCTGTGTAGCCCAAGCTGTCCTTGAACACAGCATCTTCCTGCCCCGGCCTCCTGAGTGCTGAGATTACAGATGTACACCTGCACACCCAGCTGTGAAATACACTTTTTAAAGGCACTTGCTAAGTGTGTCAGGGAAAAACAGTCACCTGTCAGTGTTCATGGATGATGGGATCCAGGATTCCCACAGATGCAGAAATCCACAGGTGCTCATGTCTCTGTATAAAAGGACATGATGTTTCGACAGAAGCTGTGTGCATCCTCCTGTACACTTCACATCCTCTCTGGATTAATTATGTCACCCAGTGCAGTGCAAATGCTGCTTGTAAATTATACTATGTTAATGATGATGAGAACAGAAACCACACGTTCTGGTCTGTTGTCAGTTGAACCTGCAGGTGTGGACCCCACCGAGATGACGAGTCTGTGGGGCTCTGATTTGAGAATTGTAGTTTAATTCTTCACATGGCTCCCCCCAGCCAAGCACAGCGAGTAGTCTCTGTGTGTTCCTGGTTGCTGCTGACCCCACCGTTTCCCTTTGGACCAAGTGTCTGGAGTACTGGCTGGGCCCCGGGAGGAGGGCAGAAGGCAGTGGTCAGCGGGGAGGGCGGGGGTCTTCTGGCGTTCTTAGCTCACTGCTCCTAAGCTGCCCACAGAAAACGCCCCATAGTGCATGCAGGGAGCCCAGAGGACCTGGCTGTGAGGGTTGTGTGGAAGGGTGAACCAGATACCCAGCACCTTGCAGAGTTCATTTCCAGAGAAGCAGCGCTGTGTTCGGGATCCAGACGGCTGTGTTGGTCACCAGCATTCTAACTCTGGCACTGTATCTGTCTGTCGGCCCGCTCCGTGTCACACACCTGGCTATTGGTCAACCTCTCCTGCACCAGCCACCACAGGAGGGAAATATGCAGCCGCTGCCATATTTTACCATCCAGACACGCTTTGCTGCATATGCTGCTCCCTCTGCGTCCTGGAGTGGGCATGTGTGCCAAGGGCCGGCACACATGGAGCCTCAGGTGTGCGTGTGTGTCTCACTTTGTTTTCTGTGCTTCACTGCAGTTCACGTAAACAAAAGGGATATCATCTTCCTTTTGGACGGATCAGTCAACGTTGGAAAGAGCAATTTCCCTTATGTGCGTGACTTTGTCATGAACCTAGTTAACAGCCTTGATGTCGGAAGTGACAATATCCGTGTCGGTTTAGTGCAGTTTAGTGACACTCCTGTGACGGAGTTCTCTCTAGACACATACCAGACCAAGGCCCAGATGCTCGCTCACCTGCAGGGCTTGCAGCTGCAGGGGGGCACGGGCCTGAACATGGGCTCGGCCCTCAGCTATGTCCATGCCAACCACTTCACTGAGGCTGGCGGCAGCAGGATCCGCGAACGTGTGCCGCAGCTGCTGCTCCTGCTCACGGCTGGGCAGTCTCAGGACTCCTATTTGCAAGTGGCCAACCAGCTGACGCGCGAGGGCATCCTGACCTTTTGTGTGGGGGCCAGCCGGGCAGATAAGGCAGAGCTTGAGCAGATTGCCTTTAACCCGAGCCTGGTATACCTCATGGACGATTTCAGCTCCCTGCCAGCTCTGCCGCAGCAGCTGATTCAGCCCCTAACCACTTATGTTAGTGGAGGTGTGGAGGAAGTACCACTCGTCCAGCCAGGTAAAGCCCCCGCCACCGCGGGCCCTTCAGTCCTCCGGGTCTGCAGAGCCTTCCTGACCCGTGGTGGCCTGAATACAGGAGCCACGGATCACGTGGAGGATGATTAGTGGCTCATTTTGGTCGAAATGATTTGAACATTAAGACACTGTAACAGCAAGGTCAGAGTCTGAAGGGTGCTTGTTTTGGTTGTTTTTTGGTACCGGGGATCAAACATCGGTCCTTGTGCTTGTGAGGTGGACGGCAGCACCACTGAGCTACATCCCCGGCCCTTGAAGGATGCTTGTTAATGAAAGTGTAGGACACCTAGTTTTGGACTTGCCCGCCTGTGGGTTTCCACTCTCTGTTTAGAGGCTGCCCGGGCTCCAGTCACACTTGTAAAGATTCTGGAGTTAGAATCCAAATGAGAGAGAGAGAGAGGGAAAGAGAAAGTTACTCTTTCATGCATGACAGTGCCTTGGCCTCATTTAACAATTGAAATTATTTTCTTTATGTGGAATTTTTGTGTTCAGACTCTGCTGTAGCTAAAAATCACCTGCATCTTTATGCAAAAGTGAACTGGGCTCCAAAGGAAGCCCGGTTATCATTATGTCAGTGAGCTATAGATGTACTGAGCCACCAGCTTGTTGGCGTCACAGAGATGGTGACAAGATGGCCCCTGGGAAGCTATCAGAAACAGGCTGAAGGACTGTTTGAGCTGGACAGCCCAGCTCCTCCATGGTGGCCTCCTCCAGACTGTCCTCCTACTCTTTGTGGCCCCGCTGCAGAGGACTGGAGAGCGCTGGTAGGGTCCTGACCCATGTGGCAACACTGAAGAGGTAACATAGAGCAGGCAGGTGGTGACCCACTTTTCCTTGGGTGGTTAACTGCATTAGCCTCTCTCCCTGGAGACTGAGGTTGGTGTTTCAGCAAAAGGACCATAAAGACCCCACTGTTGCTAGTTTTATTTAGAGTGAAGTGAAGTTGAACAGAGCCTGGCCGGCATCCAGTGGCTGGTTTAGCAGGGGACCAAGGTACTGGGTGCAGACAGGCACCACTGTGGAGCAGCCTGGGCCATGGCAGGTGGTGGTGCCCTCTGCCTTCCCTGGTTCAGGGGCTGTGCACTGGACTCTCACGGACAGGTGCGGGAGGTGCAGGGCTGGTCTGGTGGGGCTGGGCGAGGTCTTTCTGCTCACTGTCTCCTCTGACTTCTTTGTAGAGAGCAAGAGAGACATCCTGTTCCTCTTTGATGGCTCTGCCAACCTCGTGGGCCAGTTCCCAGCTGTCCGCGACTTTCTCTACAAGATCATTGATGAACTGGACGTGAAGCCCGAAGGGATCCGGATCTCTGTAGCTCAGTACAGTGACGATGTCAAGCTGGAGTCACGCTTCAACGAGCACATGACCAAGCCGGAGATCCTGAACCAGGTGAAGCGCATGAAAATCAAGATGGGCAAAGCGCTGAACCTGGGCTACGCCCTGGACTTCGCCCAAAGGTACATCTTTGTGAAGTCCATGGGCAGCCGCATCGAGGACGGAGTGATGCAGGTCCTGGTGCTGCTGGTGGCGGGGCGGTCGTCAGATTCCCTGGACGTGCCCGCCAGAAACCTGAAACAGAGTGGCGTGGTTCCATTCATCTTCCAAGCCAAGAATGCTGACCCCACCGAGCTGGAGCGGATTGCACTTTCCCCGGCATTCATCTTGGCCACAGAGTCACTCCCCAAGATTGGAGATCTGCAGCCCCAGATTGTGAACCTCTTAAAGTCGGTGTACAACGGAGGCCAGCCACCAGGTAGGGGAGACACGTTCAAGGTGGAGCTGGGCTTGGCTTCCCCTGGGGTAGGGTGGGGAAGATGAAAACTAAGGAGTGGTTTCCACGGGAACAGAACATGCATTTCCTTTCCTTGCTGTGATTTTCTAGCTGTTCTCTAGGGCAAAACAGGAGAAGCTGGGTGATTATTTTTGAGAGCATTAGAATATTTCATAAAAGATACACTATAAAGATGCTGCATGCATAATAAAAAGCCATATAAAATGGTTACCTCACAGCCAAAACAGTCACGGTCTTCACATTCCCGCAGTGCCTGTGTTTCAAGCAGGAGTCCTGTTAGGTTCTTCCCCTGACCAAAGTCACTAACAGTAGAAGGTGCTAGAGTCAGATCCGTTCCTATTGCGAATGCTCTTCAAATTTCCAACTGCTAGGTCACTACCACGAGTTCGCACTTCACCACTTGTCCTTTGGTGGAGAAAACGCAGTGAAAAGAATAATTTTACACACAGTTCTCTTGGTTGAAACCTGTGATTCTGGAGCGTCCTCAATGGGGACTGGTCCCGCGCATGGGGGCGCTGAACCTCTGGCCCCCGGGGCTGGCAACCGACCCCTCACCCCACCCTGCTGCTGATGCCCCGGCTCTGCTGCCCAACCCTGATGCTTCTCTCGAGCTCACCATTGGCGGTGAACAATTCTATTCCAGCCTGTGAAAGTTCTAAAGTAAAGTTTTTTTCCAAACGGGAGTTTTGTTTTGTGTTGCTGCCCTAAGCCACACATTTCGTGGCTCACATGGAAATGAATGTGTTCCCTGGTAAATTTAGAGGTCAGGGATTGGAAACTGGCCTCCCAGGCTGAAGTCAAGGCCAGCAGGCCCATGTTCCTTCCGGAGGGGCTAGGAGACTCTGTGTCCTCTTGGCCTCTGTTTTCTAGAGGTGGCCTGTGCTCCCGGGCTGTTGGCCTTGTCCCCACTCCTGAAGCTTCCAGTGTGGCATCTCTTCTGCTCTCTGACCTCTTAATGTGCTCCTGTAAGGATGGTTGGGATTGGTGGAATGATTCAGGGCCACGTTCAGGGATTTGGAATTGGACTTTTGCGGGGACCACCATGCAGCCTATCCTGTTGGTGGGAAGGTGTCGCCTCAAATTCCAGTGAGTCACATGGAGTCTCTGTCCCAGCTTCAGGTGAGAAAGATGTGGTGTTCCTGATCGATGGCTCTGAGGGTGTGAGGAGCGGCTTTGGGCTGCTGAAGGACTTCATGGAGAGGCTGGTGCAGGGCCTGGATGTGGGCCCCAACCGAGTCCGTGTTGCCGTGGTACAGTACAGCGACCGCACCCGGCCCGAGTTCTACCTGAACTCCTTCATGGACCAGCAGGGCGTCATCGGCGCCATCCGCAGGCTAACCCTGCTGGGTGGGCTGACGCCCAATACCGGGGCGGCGCTGGACTTCGTCCTGAAGAATGTCCTGACCCGGTCTGCAGGGAGCAGGATGGAGGATGGAGTCCCCCAACTTCTGATAGTGCTCACGGCTGACAGGTCTGGGGATGACGTGAGGGGCCCCTCAGTGGTCCTGAAGAGGGGCGGGGCGGTGCCCATTGGCATCGGCATTGGGAATGCTGACATCTCGGAGATGCAGACCATATCCTTCATCCCAGACTTCGCTGTGGCCATCCCCACCTTCCGGGAGCTGGGGAGTGTGCAGCAGGTCATCTCCGAGAGGGTGACCCAGCTCAGCCGTGAGGAGCTGAGCAGGCTACAGCCCATTTTTCTGCCCCCGAGAACAGGTAAGAGCAACAGCCCTGGTGGCTGAGAAGGAAGGCAGCTAAGAGGTGCCCATCCTCAGTAAGAGCCTGTTCTGCCCGAGGCTCGCTCTCCCTGGGCACCTGGGCAGGGGCAATGGTGGCACTGAGTGGCTCATGGCCTTGTGGCTTGGAGAGCGGGGAGAGGAGCAGAGGGGATGGAAAGGAAGGCCTGCCAAAGTGAGAGCGAGAGGCAGAGACCTTGTGCTGTTCAGGGAGGCAGAGGCTGGCTAGGGGATCGGCTTCTCACTAGGGTCAGGACAGAGCAGCACCCCCCACCGGCTTCTGAGGGAATGTCTCATTGTGAGTGATTCGCCCATCTAGGAAAGAGTGGGACAAAGTGAGGGATATTTGCTTCTTCCTTTTTTTTAATCCCTCTCAATAATGTGCTATGTGTGTCTCTGACACCATAGGAGAGGCAGCATTTCCCAACCTATATTTATTGCCTTGTACCTTGGGGCCCCAGATTCACCGAGGGCCCCTTCAAATCCTGTCCTCACCCCTGCATGCAGTTTCTTTTCTTTACTTTTTTAGTGCTGGGGATTGAACTCAGGGCCTTTACACCAAACTACATCTCCAGGCCTCTCCTTCCTTCCCATCCCTGTTTCTCACACCTCTCCTCCCTCAGCTTGCTCTCAGCCACTAGCCTTGCATCCCAGTACAAGGAAGTCAAAGAGAACTTCTGGGAACGCCCACTCAGAGCACCGTCTGTGACTCTCCTCTCTTCCCACCATTCTCCAGCATGCCAGATGGCTCTGGGGTAACAAAAGTGCTTTGCTTTTTCTCTCTTAGATATTCTCTCCATACCTTTCTAGCAGCAGCAGACTCTTCTTTGCAGACCATCTGTACTCTGTCAAATTCCTCTCCTTCTGACCTCCCCGAACACCTGCAACCCATTGCTTCCCCACCATGTCCACTGGAAGAGCAATTATCCAGGTCCCTTCACCTGACAGAGTGGCCCAACTCGGGCGCCAGCTTCCTTTCTCTGTGAGTAGCGCTTCCTGTGTCTGCCTCCTTTTGGATCCCTCTTCCTTCACCTTTGCGGCTCCTGCTCCTCTCTCTGACATCTGGATGATGAGGTGCACAAGGCTTGCTCCTTGGACTGGTATTTGACCATGGTGGTAGCTTCTGGGATCACTTGTTGGATAGGCAGTGCCTCCTTGATGGACTGAGGTGGCTCATTAATGCTAAGAATTTGATGCCTGTAAAGGTGCAGCCCACAGTCACGTTTGGTTCACTGCAGGTGGTGCCAAGAGGGACGTGGTCTTCCTCATCGACGGGTCCCAAGCTACTGCCCCGGAGTTCCAGCACATCCGCAACCTCATCGAGAGGCTGGTGGACTACCTGGACGTGGGCTTCGACACCACGCGGGTGGCGGTCATCCAGTTCAGCGAGGACCCCAAGGTGGAGTTTCTGCTCAATGCCCACTCCAGCAAGGACGAGGTGCACAATGCCGTGCGGCAGCTGCGGCCCAAGGGAGGCCGGCAGGCCAACGTGGGGAGCGCCCTGGAGTACGTGTCCAGGAACATTTTCAAGAGGCCACTGGGCAGCCGCATAGAAGAGGGCGTCCCACAGTTCCTGGTGCTCATCTCATCCGGGAAGTCGGCCGACGAGGTGGACGATGCGGCTGTGGAGCTGAAGCAGTTCGGTGTGGCCCCTTTCACTGTCGGCAGGAACACGGACCAGGAGGAGATGGCGAAGATCTCCCTGAGCCCTGAGTATGTGTTCTCAGTCAGCACCTTCAGGGAGCTGCCCAGCCTGGAGCAGAAGCTGCTGATGCCCATCACCACCCTCACCGCCCAGCAGATCCAGCAGCTCCTGGAGAGCACCCGCCACCCTCCACCGGGTAAGGTCTGGGGACGGGGTCAGCGTATTTCCCATGGAAAAATCCATAAGCTCAAAGCCGCGCTCCCCGGGATAAGTGAATTTCCCATTATGGTGGTACCCCTTGGCTCTACACAGCCAACGCCCACCTGCCACAGACCTAGAACACACCTATTGGACCAGGTGGGCTGCTAGCATCTGAGAAGGGGGTGTGGAAGGGTCTGTGTGGACTTGGAGCTTGTGCCAGGAAATCTGGGGAACTCTGGCCTAAACTGGGGGAGCTGGGAAGTGGTGAGCACATTGGGGTTGGCCCCCTTGGCCTGTCTAGGACTGGAAGTGAAGCCGTGGTCATGGCCATTCCTGCTCTGCAGTGAGGGATGGCAGGGCCTCTCTGTGGCTTGGGCAAGGCTCCTCTTTCATCAGAGTGGGCTGACCTGTGCTACCCTGTCGTGGCAGCCATGCAGCCCCCCAGCTGAGGCCGACGCACTGTGCATGGGTAGTTGTGGAGTGCAGGGAGCTCAGGTTGCGTGGCCCCTGCTGTGAAGCTGATTTTCTATTTCTTAGTAAATGATTCAGTTACACAATTAGCCCAGCGATCCACTGTAAGTAACTCCCCAAGGGAAAAGGCAAGGGCCAGATTGGTGTTTGTTGAGTGGCAACACATTAGTTAACACAATGGCATCTGAGGAACATCTAGAATTCTTACGAGGAAAATGTGGCTCATCCTTCCCAGGACATTTTTGTTAACTCTTCAGGCTGAGTATATCTTATCCAACATGCTCAAAACCAGAAGGGTTTGGATTTCTTTGGATTTTGGAGTATCTGTGTATACATACTGAGAAGACTTTAGGTTGGGACCCAAGGCTAAACGTGAAATTCCTTAATATTCCATGCATAGCCTGAAGGTCATTTTAATCAATTAAAAAAAAATCTTGCATGAAGTAAAGTGTGATGTAGAATTTCCCCTTGGGTGGTGTCAACGTGGTTTCATGTCAGTCCTGAAAAAGTTTTGAATTGGAGCATTCTGGATTTTGGATATTTAGATTAGGGAATGCTCAACTGTAGAGAAAACCCAGCTCCTGTTACTAAGTAATGGCTGTGAAAGGTAAGGAAGGACCTTTGCTGCCCTCAGCACTCTCTCTGCCTCTCTCTCTCTCTTTCTGATGTTGGCCCTGGTGGTCATGGTCTCTTCTGTAATCCAGAATTACATTTCTAAATACTGCTTACATTTTTAAAATTTGGTATTAACCCAGACCACAAAGCTAAAATCAAAATAGAGTCAACTCAAGAGAAAATTTTGGAGAATTTAAAGTATTTCAAGAAGTGGAAATTGCTTTGACAAAAAAAAAAAGTTCCAGTTTGTAACCACTGATTTCACAAAGCCCGGACACAGGCAGCACATGGGCCCTGGCTGCAGTTTAATGTCGGTAAATTAGTGCTGTGGCCTGATGGGGAGCTCAGAGCCATGCAGACACCCCGGACGCTGGCTGGCTCTACCCTGCTCCTCCTCTCTTGCAGAGAGCGATGCTGCGGACATCGTCTTCCTCATCGACAGCTCTGACGGCGTCAAAAGTGATGGCCTCGCGTACATCCGAGACTTTGTGAGCAGGATTGTTCAAAGACTCAACATTGGCCCCAACAAAGTGAGAATCGGCCTGGTGCAGTTCAGCAATGATGTTTTCCCTGAGTTCTTCCTGAAGACCCACAGGTCCCAGGCTGCGGTGCTGGGCGCCATACGGCGCCTGAGGTTCCAGGGTGGTGCTCCGCTGAACACCGGCCGAGCTCTGGAGTATGTGGCAAAAAACCTCTTTGTTAAATCTGCCGGGAGCCGGATAGAAGATGGGGTGCCCCAGCACCTGGTCCTGCTTCTAGGTGGAAATTCCCAGGATGATGTTTCTGGCTTTTCCCGGGTCATCAGCTCCTCGGGGATTGTGAGTTTAGGAATTGGAAACCGGAACGTGGACAGAACAGAGTTGCAGACCATCGCCAACGACCCCAGGCTGGTCTTCACGGTGCGCGAGTTCAGAGAGCTCCCCAGCATACAGGAGAGGGTCATAGGCTCTTTTGGATCCTCTGGGGTCACCCCAGCACCCCCAGTACTCACCTCTCCTCCTTCGAGGCCAGGTATGGGCTATGTGGCCCCTGATTAGTGTGGGCTGTGAAACATTAACATTAAACATAACTGGCATTCTGTGTAATAATTCCCTGCAGATAATGTTAGAAATCAAACACTGGGAAGATAATCTAGTTGAAATTATAGCAGGAAATATGGCCCCCAAAGCACCTGGCCGTTGACCTTCCACTACTCTCAAGGTTAATTGTGGCCCGGCCAGAGATGCTGTAAAGGTCCCCAGGGTTTGTCACACCTGTGGCTGTCAGAATACGGTGCCTACATCTTGTAGGTCAGTGGCCATCCCACACTGGACGTGGCTTTGAAGTCTGAGTTCCCAGAGGTGCTGCTCACCATGGCCCAGGCAGCCTTTCTTGGGCCAAGGAGACCCTCAGAATCCTATACCTGCAGCAGCTCTTCCCTGTGTACTCCTGGCTGTCACCTGTGGGGCTGCCAGGAGCAAATCAGATGCGACTGCCACCCATACCTTCCCTTGTCCCCTCTGCTGGGCAGTGGCCATTCAGACACCCAGAGCACAGGAGTAGGTTTTGCCAAGGGATCCGACTCCTGTTCTCTCTCTCCTGCCTGTAGAGGCAGTAGGCTGGCCCAGGAACAGCCCTAACCTTAGCACATCCGAAGCCACACACTACCGAGTCCAGGTTCTGATGTGACGTCACTGTGCTCAGGGCAGCCAGGACTTTGTCTCACTAAGATCCTGAGTGTCTGGTCCATTTCCTTTGGATAACGAACCCTTTATCTTCTTGTTTTTAGCATACTGTTGTTTAGGGCTGGCACTAGAGGGGCATGGGATGGATTGGAGTTTTTCACTGTGAAGGAATTATCAGGAGGGTCTTATTTTAATTTATGCTTTGTGTGTTTCTGTCCCGGGTGTGGTGGCCCCATCTCTATTCATCTCCACTGTGACCCCTTATAGAGAAGAAGAAGGCGGACATTGTGTTCCTGCTGGATGGTTCCATCAACTTCAGGAGGGACAATTTCCAGGAAGTGCTCCGTTTCGTGTCCGAAATTGTGGACACGGTTTATGAAGATGGCGACTCCATCCAGGTGGGACTGGTCCAGTACAACTCAGACCCCACCGATGAGTTCTTCCTGAAGGACTATTCCTCCAAGAGGCAGATCATTGATGCCATCAACAAAGTGGTCTACAAAGGGGGTCGGCGTGCCAACACCAGGGTGGGCATCCAGCACCTGCAGCTCCATCACTTTGTGCCTGAGGCGGGCAGCCGCCTGGACCAGAGGGTCCCCCAGATCGCCTTTGTGATCACGGGGGGGAAGTCAGCAGAGGACGCTCAGGATGTGAGCCTGGCACTCACCCAGAGAGGCGTCAAAGTTTTCGCGGTGGGAGTGAGGAACATAGACTCTGAGGAGGTGGGGAAAATTGCGTCCAACAGCGCCACTGCCTTCCGCGTGGGGAACGTCCAGGAGCTGTCGGAGCTGAGTGAGCAAGTTTTGGAGACTCTGCATGATGCGATGCATGAGACCCTGTGTCCTGGTGTGAGCGACGTGTCCAAAGGTAACCCCTTTACGGCATTTCTGGTTCTTCCCCAGATGTCTGCAAGTGTGGCTACCTGAGCCCCAGTGCTGGGGTACTAACCCTTGTTTTTGATTATGGTTTCATTGAGTCAGTTTTTTTTGAGACTGAAACATTTCTAAAATGCTTTTAATTCAAACAAACTACAGATGCTTTAAAACAGCAGCTACATGTTATCACGCCAAAGCTGTTGAACACCTCCATAAGAACAAACTTTGGAGATGTGATCACAGTATCTAATGGATGCTTCAATTAGAAAAGTTTCAGTATCGTAAAGGATACATGGCCAGTAATCACTGCAAAAATCCTCCCCCTTGATTCCAACACTCGTAGTCCATTGTTCTTGCCACTTTCCGAAGCAGTCCTGAGTCCCAGGTCAAGTCTTTCTGAGGTGTGACATGAAGTGGTGGATGCTGTGCCGACTGCCACCCACCAAGAGGGCAGTCTTGGGACGATGGGACAGTGTGTCCTTGTCCACTGTACTCATCAGAGGGTGCCCTGTGACTCCTGACTCTTCCCCAGCTCAATGAGACCATGCAAGTCTAGCATTTTCAATCGTTTCAGGGTATGGAGGCAGCCACAACAGCACAATGAAAGACTCTCTGGAAAGGGGGCTCCAGAACTGCCTCAGAAAGTGGGAAGAGTGAAGGGATTAGTGTGCTTGAAGTGAGGGGGAGTATTTGAGGGAGGTTACAGCAAGGTGTCATTTACTATAATTAAAAAAAAAATCGAAGCGTTCAATGTACGTTTTGGTCACACCTTATGCATTGAAATAGCCCGCAAGTTTGGTTCCCAGCAATCACTTGTGTTTTTTCCTGCTAGAAGGCCTGGCCACACAGAGCTGACACAGGGAGGGTCTCATCTGGGTGCTGAACACAGTGTCCTGGTCCACATCCGGCTTTCCCTGGCACTGTGCACGTAGAACTCTTCTCTGCGGCCTCACCTTGGCACCCTGGCCTGCACTTCTCCTTTCCAGCTTGCAGTCTGGACGTGATCCTGGGGTTTGATGGGTCCAGAGATCAGAACGTATTTGTGGCCCAGAAGGGCTTTGAGTCCAAGGTGGACGCCATCCTGAGCAGAATCAGCCAGATGCAGAGGATCAGCTGCAGCGGAGGCCAGCTGCCCACCGTGCATGTGTCTGTGGTGGCCAACACGCCCTCTGGGCCGGTGGAAGCCTTTGACTTTGATGAGTACCAGCCGGAGCAGTTTGCAAAGTTCCGCGACATGCGCAGCCAGCACCCGTACGTCCTCACGGCCGACACACTGAAGGTCTACCAGAATAAGTTCAGGCAGTCCTCACCGGACAGCGTGAAGGTGAGCTGCCCTGTGCACCTCGTGCAGGGTCTGCAGTTTTGCTGGGTGGCAGCTCATCCCCAGTGTCTGGGAGCCCTGCCTGAGGCCCTCCTGTACACAGGCATGCAGGCAGGACCATCAGCATCCATGCGGAAGTGCTCACCTCCGAGCTGACGGCACTTCCTTCACAGGTTATGCATCTTGCTAGCTTAATTCGAGCCCTAAGACACATCCTGGACGTCAAGGACAAAGCTAGACTGTGTCAATTTAGGATGAGCTCAGGTCCGGTGACAGGACCACCCACCAGAGAAGCTCTGGTCTCTGCTTGTGTCTCTATCTCTCGGCCCCTCTGTGTGTGCATGTGCACACACATACTTATGAGGGCTGTCACACAGAGCAGAATCAGATGGGGGCTTGAGACTTACGTCTGCCCAGTGCTGAGATCTGGCATCACACACGGCGTGGGCAGGCCGTTTTCCTCTAGACTGGTCTCCCTGGCTTGTACATGGCTGTCCTTCCCGTGTCCTCGCGTGGTTCCCCTTGTGTGTGTGTTTCCTAGTGTCCTCTTCTTATTAAGACATCTGTCATCCTGGATGCGGAGCCCCCAGTGACCTCATTTACCTTAACAGCCTCTTTAAAAGCCTCATCTCCCTGAGGTTCTGGGGTGAGGACTTGGTTTTGCGGGGCGTGGCCGCAGCACAGGGCAGACACACCACATGTGATTTCTGGAAACCACATCTCATAAAAAGGAGAATGAGATAAACTGTTTTCATTGTCATTGTTGCTTGTGGTTTTCTAAGATAAATCACACCCATTTATTTTATGCCTCATTTATTGCACAATAGCTTTGACCTTGGCCTTCGGTTTCTCAGCCTAGAAGGAGGAGTTTGAACTCCAGTAACCTCTTGGCTCCTCTTCACCATCTGTGCTCCTCCCTTCCAGGCTGGGCCGGAACCTCACAGACTTTGCTTTGCAGGTGGTCATTCATTTCACTGATGGCGCGGATGGAGACCTGGCCAATTTACACAGAGCCTCGGAGGAACTCCGAGAGGAAGGTAGGTCCGGGCTCCCAGGTACAGGTAGCCGGCCCAGGTGAGGGGGTTGCTGCCCTATTGAGAGGCCTCTCTGGTTTGGAGTCCTGGGTGGTGACAGCTTCTGTTGGAGGACACTGTCCCAAGCTCTGTGGTCCTTTGTGCCCTCCTGGGCTCTGAGGTGCTGATGAGGGTTCCTTACGAACACTGGCGCTTTATTCCCGAGCCCTGGCAAACGCACGTGGGTTCAAAGAGCTAGTCAGATGGCGGGACTTGGAGAAGGCGTGATGCTTGTCTCAGTCACTTTTGTTGCTTTTGGGACCAAAATACCTGATACCAGCAACTAGAAGAAAGAAAGCTTTGTTTTGACTCACAGTTTGCTGAGGTTTCAGTCCATAGTTGGTTGGTTCCAAAGCAGGGGTGGCTGAGGAGTTCATCATGTCATGGTGTTCAGAAAGCAGAGATAAAAGGAGTGGGCCAAGGAGTTAGACCCTTCAGGCCACGCCCCAGTGCCCACCCCCTCCCACCAGGCTCCACCTCCCCATCTTGGTTAGCCACACACTCATCAGTGAATGAACCCAGTCCATGAGTGTCACAGCCCCAAATCTCTACCATGTGAGCATAAGGCTTTGGGGGACCTCTGGATAGAAACCATAGTAATGATCTTGCAAAAGAATCCAAGTACTGATTCCTTTAGCTCCACCATAGAAACTAATGTATTAGCAGAAGTGACTGCTATATTTTCAGGTTGCAGTTGTCACAGCTCAAAACACTACCAGGTTTAAATTACAATGCGTGTAAATAATACAAATACACACACCGACCAAAAGTAAGGTAACTTGAGATGCCCGTTACGAGATGATCACATGCTTTAGAAACTGGAAGCGCTGAATATCAGAAAGTGGGTGCCAACAGCAGACCCTTAAGAAGAATTCATAGAAGCACAATTTAGCACACTAACATCCTCTTTATTAGCTAATTTCCCTATGCTTTGGAGGTGTGAATGTGCTCCCCTGATTTTGGAGGGGTTAGGATTTCAGTTCTTCCCATGGGCACCCTTGTTAAGGTGGGGCTGGAGTTTGAGAACTGAGTTTGAATCTATTTCATGGGTGCCACTTCCTGGGTTTACAGTAATACATTAAGAGACATATTGAAGGTAATTATCCCGAGGAGTTCAGGGTATCAGTACTCCTACTCTTCCAGGCAGCTCAGTAGTTTGATTGCACAGGTTTAAATTAAAGCCAAATTTTATGTTGGATTAAAAAAAAAAGTCAGGAGAAAAGGTGTCAGTGCCATAGAGCATGCAGGCGAGCCCCACTAAGTGTGTCTTTCCCCCCAGGTGTCCATGCACTGATCCTGGTGGGCCTGGAACGCGTGGCCAGCTTGGAGAGACTGGCACACCTGGAGTTCGGGCGGGGCTTCATGTACGACAGGCCCCTGCGGCTCAACCTGCTGGACCTTGACTACGAGCTGGCGGAGCAGCTGGTGTGTGTGGCTTCACATCCACCGGATCAGTGGGGCAACCTTGGAGTGGAGGCAGCGAGGCCATCCTGGCCTGGCCAGGGTGGTGGTGGGGTCTGGGTTTCCGTGTAGTGCGTTGAATTCTTTTGGCATCTGCCTTCCTGGCCCAGCAGGGGTGAGTCCTGGAAGTGGAGCTAGCTTTGTAGGCATGCAGATGTCGTAGCCTTAGATCTTCCTCTGTTCCCATTAGCAGCTCCCTCTTTCAATGTCTTTTCATTCCTAAGATGGCTGGGGATGCAAGACCTTGCGATAGCCTTCCCCAGACAGGAGACTGTACAGTGTCTGAAAGTCTATACCATGAGAGCAAGAATGTACAAGAGAAGAAAGACCACGGCACTTGTGGAGAAGTGCTCCTACTACTTGCTTTCTAGAGACTTCCCTCGGCTCATGCAGCCTGAGTGTGGCCGACCCTGACCTCCAGAAGCGTGTGCAGGTCTCGGTAGGTGTTTCTTGAGCTTTGAGCTTGTTCCTTCTTTCCATCCTGGTAGGACAACATTGCTGAGAAAGCCTGCTGCGGGGTTCCCTGCAAATGCTCCGGAGAGAGGGGAGACCGAGGGCCCATTGGCAGCATCGGGCCAAAGGTACGGTGGCTTGGGCCCTCTTTGTCCACCTGAGGTTAGATTCAAGGGTTGTGTTACTTTGATCAGGTCATTTCTCCAACTTTGGAGCTGGACAGGGAGAAGTACCCTTCACATCTGGAGAACAGGAGGTCCCCTGTGTGTCCCAGATCACAACCTCTGGATGTAGTTCACCCCCCAGACATGGAGGAAGTGCTGAGTGTCTGTCACCTTCCCCTTTCGGTGGTGGGGGCGTGCTCTTTAGCAGACGGGCTCTTCCTTTGGTAAAATCATGCTGAAACTTGGCCTTACTGATTGGCTGGGCCCTCAGCGTTTGCCTCTGAGTGGGGAGCAGCAGGCTTTCCTGGAGAAGCAGGAGCCAGAGAGCCCCCATCACAAGAGTGATCACCCTGGAGAGTGAGTGGGACACTGGCCGAAGCTGTGCTGACTCTCAGCTTGATGCTGCCAAACTAGGGGCCAGAAGGGGCAGAGCAGGGTGACCGTGGGGCTTCACCAGGGCCCTGTGTGTGTTGTTTCAGGGCGTGGCGGGGGAAGACGGCTACCGAGGTTACCCAGGAGATGAAGGCGGACCTGTGAGTATACCTGCCCTTTCCCAAAGCTCCAATTCCTGCCCTCTTCCACATCGGGACAGGAGCCTTTGGTTAACAGCTTTCCCTCTGGGATAAAAGTTAACTTCTAACTTCTTTCACAACTTTCCTTAGATGGGGGACACTTTGGAGAACAGGACAATCTGAGGGTGGCAGTGTGGGTCTGAGGGTGTGCTTCCTAGTCCTTAGGGAGGTGCTAAATGAGACAAAGGCCACCCAGGGCCTCCTCTCTTCCAGTTCATTTTAGCTCTTCAGGGATGTGGGACCCTGCTCTGGGAACGTCTCCCCAAGGGCTGTCGGAGGGCAGGAGGTCTCTAGGCCCAGCCGGCGTGTGGGCCAGGGCTGGGCGCTGGGAGCTGAGGGCACGCAGAGCAGTGGTCAGGCTGACGGGCCCTCAGTGGGGCCTGGCACCCCCACATGGGGCACCTGGGACCACCTCTGCTGGGTGACCCTCTGGAGTCCCTGTCCCCGAGGGCCAGGCCCTGAGGCCCTTGGCTCACACTCCTCCAGAGAGCTCCAGCTGCAACTGCCTGTTTCCCCACAGGGTGAGCGAGGTCCGCCCGGCGTGAATGGCACTCAGGGCTTCCAGGGCTGCCCAGGCCAGAGAGGAGTGAAGGTACAGTGTGGGTGGTGGGGTGGGTGTGGAGAAATGGTCTCCAGGAGATGCTCCTAAGGCCTTGGGCGGCTGGGGCCAGGTGGTCTCGGGCCTGGGCCCTGGGAGGAGGAGAGGGGAGCAGTGGCAGGTGCGGGTTCCGGCCGCCAGACTTTCCCTTTCACTTGCTGAGTTACAGCAGGGGCTGGTGGGAAGGGCCATCTGCTGCAAAGTGGTAAAGTTGGCCTTCACCTTGAGCCCCTTTGCCTGGCTTTTGGGGTCACTCCTGCTATCCAGTGAGCAGGATACTACCTGAGTGTTTGGTTCCAGGCAGATCAGTTTATGATATCCCATGCTGGTCGTGGTGACAGAGGGAGCTAAAGAAATGCACTTTTAGACCACTGGGGCATTGGGATGGGGTAGCCCTTGGCTTCCTCTGCCCCGAAGGACCAGCTGTGGCGGAAGAACTAATATTTCCCCTGTCCCCTTTCTTCCAGGGCTCTCGGGGATTCCCAGGAGAGAAGGTATTCAAGCTCAGTTTGGTTTATTAAGTTGAACATTTCCCCAGCATTTCCATTTTCCCCTTTGCCAGATGGCTCCCTGCCTCACTTGCGCATCTGCCTTCTTCCCTCTCAGGGTGAACTCGGAGAAATCGGGCTGGACGGGCTCGACGGCGAGGATGTGAGTGGCTTTACTTTCTCCATCCAAACTGCTCTGCTCCCAGAGACAGCAGCAGCTGGCAGCTTGGTCTGCGGCAGAGGCTGTGTGAGACCTGACCATTTCTTGTTGTCTTTGGCAGGGAGACAAGGGGCTGCCCGGTTCTTCTGGAGACAAGGGGAGCCCTGGGCGAAGGGTAGGTGGCCTGGTTTGCTTTACACACGAGAGTTCCGACTGCCCCAGGGGTGCCCCTGGGTCCCTGCTGGCTCGGACCCATGTCACTGTCCTTCTGGTTTTGCAGAGCATAGTCCACAGGGCCACAGAATTTGTTGTGTTCTAAATAATCCCCAGTGTCTGCCGACACACAGTGTATCTCCAGCGAATATCTGTGAGTTAACTGAACAAATCGTAAATACTGGAAAATGAATTTACCTTGATGGCACAGGAGGGATAATTGATTCTGTTCTACTTAAGACTGGCGAAGCAGAGTGTAAATTTTCAAGGTGAGGCAATAATCTGATGACTGAGCCTAGAGTAGAGGCTGCTTTTGTTATGAAAATCACAGCACGATCAGCTGTCCCGCTGTCGGCTTCACTGTGGAAACCTTCTGCTGTCTGTCTGTGTCTGTAGCATGGAGTGAACCTCAGATACCCACAGGAGAAGCACACTAGCCCTGACTCCCGTGTGCATGTTTTATTTAGGGTGACAAAGGACCAAAAGGCGCCAAGGGGGAGCGAGGAGACGTCGGCATCCGAGGTGACCCGGTAAGACTGGTGTCCTCCTTGGGGCCCAGACCGAGGATGGGAGGAGGCTGGGATTTCTGTAGGTCATGTTGATGCACATTGTGTCCTTCCTTGTCTCATGATTCCGGGTGGCTGGAGGTGTGTTGTTTCTCCAGCTCCACAGGTCGGCATTGTAGGTTGAGGCACAGAAAGACCTGAGAGGTTTCCCTACTGCCGTTTCCCTACTGACTCTTCCCATTGCAGCTTTGCTTCTCTTAAATGTTGCTGTAAAAGCTGGCTGTGGCGTTGCACTCAGGACACTGAGGCAGGAGGATTGCCTGAGTTTGAGGCCAGCCTGAACTACATAGCCAGACGCCTTCTCAAAAATTAATCAATCAATGACTCCGTAAACCCGTTAAGTAAATGAGCATCACCACCTGTTCTCCAACCTCTGTGTCAGGGATTCTAGGGCGAGCCTGGGGCGGCTTCCTCCCTGGGGACCGTCCGGTTGGTGGACCCCAGTCTGGGCCCCATCAGCACCAGCTGGGAGTGATCTGTGTGGGGTGTGGCTGAAAGGACTGTGCCATCCTCCAGAGCCTGGTGCTCCTGCTGTCAGTCATTTTTCAAGCCCCCCATTGGGTGGCAGTGGCGTTCCTGCCACATGTGGCTCCTTCCCTGGTGTTGTTTTCAGGGTGACTCTGGACAGGACAACCAGCAGAGGGGACCCAAAGGAGAGACAGGTGACATCGGCCCCATGGTAAGGTGCCAGTGGTCACAGATGTCCCTGAGCTCAGGGCCAGGAAGCTCCAGCTGGCCCTATAGCCAAGCAACCCAAGACAGCAGGGTCCTGGGAGGTGGTGAGGGTGTGTGTGGGAAGGGGTGGGGCCTGTGCCCTGCACACCGGAAGCGCTGGTTCAACCAAGGCTTGTAGAGATGGGAATGCATGGGGTCTGCGGCCCCTGTAGCAGGGGCTTGCCCTGGGAACTGGCCCTCTCCCTGCAGAGCCTCAGGTCAGTTTTCCTGCCCCACAGGGTCTCCCCGGGAGAGATGGTGTGCCAGGAAGCCCCGGGCAAGCTGGGAAGAACGTGAGTACCTCAGGGTTGCATGGGGTCCTTATCAAGTGCCCAGTGCCAGCCAGACGCTGCCCACTGCACAACAGGGTTCCTGTGTCTCGGTCTATTCTGTGCTGCTCCAAAGAGATCCTGGGTCATTCCTAACAAACAGTTTTTGCTTCACCTCTGTGCCCTGGGGGATGGAACCCAGGGCCTTGGAGCCTCCAGGCAAGTGCTCTGTCACCAAGCATTAGCCCCAGCCCACCTGTGTGGCTCATGTTCCAGAAGCCAGGAGGTCCCTCTGCCCATTGCCAGCCCCACAGAGGGCCCTGGAGCTTTGTCATCCCAGGGCAGAAGGCAAAGGAAGGCAAGATTTGGACCTAAAACTTGCTGCCTATAGAAATTTTTCATTCTTATAATTTATTCTGCATTCTTTCTGGTCTCCTTCCCAATCTTATATCCTTCTCCTCTACAGAAATATGCCAAACGGGTTTCGGGAAATACCTTCACTGCTTTCAAATATTTGGCCAAGATTTACCCCACTAAATATTTTAAATATTGAAATGCTAAAGCCGGGGGCTGGTGGGTGAGGGGCAGGAGGGACCTGTGTGTTTGGTTTTTATAGTGGTCTGGCTGTTTGTGCGACTGTCACTGGTACAAGGAGGCCAGGCTGGTCTGTCCCACTGCATCCGGAATGTGGCTGTCCTGTGGCACACTGAGGGCCTCACCAGGGGGTCTGGCTGGAGAGACCTTGAAGCTAGAGTGGTGGGGTAGCTGTCAGGAGGCAAATTGAAGGCTTGCAGGCCCTAGTTGCTAGGTGTGGAGGTCCCTGCACCCAGCAGGTTGGAGCCCAGGGGAGCTCAGGAGGCTGGGGGGTGCAGGGCAGGTCTCCACTCAGAGGACAGAGCATGAAGGCTATGCACAAACCCAGCCCCAGTAGTTTTCTGAATGTGAGGACACAGTCAGGCCCCTGAAGTTGAGGATCAGAGGAGTCACGAGGCCAGGGCTTCCCAGGGGTGAGTCCCCGGTGAGGTGACTGAATGGCGGGGCTGCTCTGAGGCCTTAGATTCACAGGCCAGTCTGTGAAGGTTTGTGCATTGTTGCTGAATGGTCTGTGGAGCCCCGCAGTGGAAGAGAAACAAGGAAATGCTCATTGCAGCTGCCCTGGCTGCACGGTGGCTGCAGCACAGCGGTGGGGCAGCTGGCTTCAGTCCCACATGCGATGTGTTCAGGGGTTCACTAAGCAGGGAAATGAGCACAGAGCAATTTTGCAGTGGACTGAGGGCTGGCCAGGCATTCCCCCACCTTTCCCTGGGGACCCCACAGTGCCAGTTTAGGGCCGGGGAGAATGGTGTCCCTGTCCTCCAGTGACATCACCCTTTTGAGTCTCTGCAGGCAGCCTGTGACATCACCCCTTTGAGCCTCTGCAGGCAGCCTCTGGCCTGGGCAATAGTCACTGTGTGCCTGGGCCTCTGGTCACACCCCAATGTGTCGTCATGGGGACAGTCCTGATGTTGGCACCTGCAGAGCAGCAGCCCCTCACCTTGCACAGGCCAGGCAGGATATTCAGGGGCTTCCACCCCGGGCTGCTGCCCACCGGATGACGTGAAGTGGGAAGTCACGGGCCACTTGCTAGGAAGCCCACATGTGGGAACTGAGGTCACCCCCGGCACTTTGGGGAGCCTGAGCTAAGCACGCAGGACACTGAGGTTTGTTGGCCCCTGTGCTGTTTGGAAGCTCTGCTACGGGGAGCGTGTGTTGTGCTTGGCCGTGTGATCTGGAGGATCTGGGGTTCCTTCTGCCCTCGTGAACATGGAAGGAAAACAGGCAGGTCGGCATTCTGGGCCCACATTCCTTGCTCAACATTGGCTGGGACTATGTAGCCAGAAGTCATTATTTTGCTTGGCGGGTGTGGAGCACTTCTCAGAACTTCCATTCGGGCTGTTAGGGGAGCAGCATGGAGGCAAAACTTCTCCAAGTTGAGAGCTGAGGAAAGGATTGGCTGCATCGGAACCAGAGCCCCCAGACCTACTCTCTGGTTTCTGGCAGTAAATGGGGCCAGGGACGGAGAAGGGGTCACTGAGTGTCTCAGAGGGTCCGGCTGTGTGCCAGCGTCCCTGTGTCCCCCTTACCATTTGTGTGATTTTTCCTTCCCCAGGGCGGCTTTGGCCGAAGGGGACCCGCAGGAGCCAAGGTGAGTCCTCAGGCCGGCACGTCTGGGGTCACTCAGGAGATGGCCCGATGTGGTCCCACTGGGATGGGGACACCAAGCCCAGGCGTCACAGCTCAGCTCCAACAGCCCCCAACCTAGCCCCTTCTGCCAGGTCTTGAGAAATGGCTCAGGAGGGCAGAAGGAAGGGAGGTGACAGTGGCGGTGGGTGCCCTGGGTCTTTCTTCTGTGCGGTGCTGGCTAGCAGGATCTCTGGCCGGGGCAGCACGGGCATAGGCGGGAAGTCGCCTTTCCCAGAGCTGTGCCAACGCGTAGGTGCGGTGCAGTGAGCACCGACCTGCTGCCTGCGTGCTCTCCCTGGGACCTAGGCAAGCTGCATTTCTGACTGGGCCGGAGGGAGCCTGTGCTGCAGCACCCTCACTCCTCCCTGTCCTCTCTTGTCTCCAAGGGCAACAGGGGCGGTGCTGGCCAGGCGGGCTTCCCAGGAGAGCAGGGTACCAGAGGCGCACAGGTCAGTACCCTGCACCATCTGGGCCTTGGGATACTTTCCCAGGTTTCCTGGAAATTTTTTAAAATTGAGGAATGTTTGTTCATAGAACATAAAATTAGCCATTTTAACCCAAGTTGTTTGGTGTGTGTAGCACACTCACAGTACTGTGCAGTAATTTAACAACCCTTTTATTAGCTGTGTAGGTGACTTGTATACCCATTACACAGTGTTCCCTACTGGCCTCTGCCCCAGGGCCCTAGTCAGCACTCACTTTTCTGTCTTGAAGGATTTGCCTGTTCTGGGCAGTTTATCTAAATTAATCATGAATAGGTGGCCGCTTGTGTTTGTTTGCCTTCGCTCAGGATAATACTTTTGAGGCTCAGACACACTGTACCCTAACCAGAATTTCACTCCTCCAGTTGGCTGAGTAATATTCCACGGTGAGGGATACAGTGCTGTTTGTCCACTCACTGGTTGCTGGGCTATGGGGTTGTCTCCTCCCATTAGTTTGTGAGGGAGGCTCTCACGCTGGCTCCTTGTGAGAGCCAGCTCCACATCACTGACCATTGGCCTTTTACTCTGCAGGGTCCCCCTGGCCCCACTGGTCCTCCAGGCCAGGTCGGGGAGCAAGGCATTCCTGGACCTCGGGTAAGTCCCCTCACCTGAGCCTGTAGCTGAGTTCGCAGCACAGTGGAGACTTCCAGGGTGACCTGCCCCTCAGTCCCACCCTCTGGCAACTCAGTGCCCCCTGCGGCAGTGGGCAACTCCATTTCTTGCACTCCAGTGGCTTCTAGGTCCCCAAAGTAGCCCCTGCCCTGGACGTTAGCAAAGGCAGTGTGAGCCCTGTCCCGGGAGTCTTAAGATAGGCCTGTCCAGCATCTAGGCACAGCTACTAAAACCTGGGAACTGGGCCTCCTGTCCGTCACAGAGCTGAATGAGCGTGGTCAGCTGGCAGCCCGCTGGTCTGTTGCTACACAAATGCACAGCGGGCAGGATCTTCATGAAAAGTCCTTCTCACTCTGGATGGCTGATAATAACCATTGTGAAAGTTTCTGCAGGTTTTTTTTTTTAAATTCAACTTTTAGTTAACCAGGACTTTGAGGTGACTTGGGTGCAAAGCTATTCAAGTAGTAGTTACCTTATCGTCCCAGAAGCATTTATCAAACAGGTGTTCTCCACCACCTACTTTAGGGACTTTTGTGGGCTGTGTGGGCAGTGCCCCCTTAGAAAGTGATTTCTTGATCCCCCTCAGGCATTTCTGGACCTGGACACATCAGCTGTTCACAGAGGGGTAGTGGTGGGTGGAATAGTAGGGGAAACAAAGTCACATGAAGCCAGGGATCTATCATCTAGCAGGGAACCCAGCATGTGTCCCTTAGCTGCAATGTGCATGAGCATGTACAAATTGGTCCTGAGAGGTGATGTGAATATTTTAAGTCTGCACAGAAACTTCCGGTGCATTTAGGTTGGAGTCTATAGCACCAGGCGCTGTGTCCTGTGCTGGGGAGTGTGGGGAACATGGGTCTCGGCACTTGTAGGGCTCTGGCCTCCACACAGGGCTGAGCTGGGGGCGTTCAGATGAGCACATAGCGACCCTCTCCTCTCCTGTGCTGCAGGGAGCGGGAGGAACCGTGGGGGCTCCAGGAGAACGCGGCAGGACGGGTCCCTTGGGAAGAAAGGTTTGTCTGGACAGGGGAGGAGCTCTTTGAGGATGGGCCCTGGTCTGAGGCTCGAACCCCTTCCACCTGGCTTGTCACTCTGCATCTCCATCTCCCTGTGCTGCTACTCATTCCCGCTCCAGGTTCCTGGGGACGGCACCCTGCCAGCAGGTGGTGGGTGCACTGGCTTTCTCCTTTCAGACCCTACTGCCTGGTGGGTCACCTGATAGCTCTCACCCTGGGGCGGCCGGCACACAGGGCAGTGTCCTCTGAGTCCAGGAGCAGCCTGGCCATGCCTCGTGCATTGCAGAGTCACATGGAGCACACAAGACTTTGGTCCAGGCCCTGCAGACCGGAGCTGGATCAGCTCCCAGACAGCAGTGAGCCTGGGAGGGGCAGCGAGAACCTGCTGTCTTCAGCCTTATCGTTCATTACTGGGTCTGAAAAGACAGCACATAAATGTGCCCTCGAGACCCAGGCGGTCTCCCAGCCTCAGGGTGCTGCATCCCACCTTTCCAGCTGCTTCTCCCAGTCCCTGTCTTTTCCCCATCAGCCTGTCTCTGGGCCATGGAGGGACAGGCACACACCTCCCTGGGTTCTCCACGGGAGCCTGGGCCTGAACGTTCTGCTGTGAATGATGTGTGTTTATTCATTTAAACCAACACATGGCAGCCGTGCCTGTGAGACCCAGTGTGGAGAACTGGTGCAGGTTCCTCGTGCGTAATTCTGAGGTCAGGGTGGTCAGCGTTTCTTCGTGCTGGGAACCTGTGCACTCCTCTCCCGGAGTTACTCTGAGATATAGATAAGCTACTGTAAACTCTACCCCCGGGGGCCACGCTGCAGAATGCCAGGGTACTAGCCATCCCCAACACCACCCTTCCCTTCCCTGCACCTGCCCTTCCCAGCCTCTGTGACCACCATCGACCCCTTGCTTCCCGACACAGCCCTTTCCTTAGCTTGCACAAGGCAGCGGGGATGAGTGGTCTTTGCTTTCTGTGCCTGTCATATTGCAATTGAACAAAATCCTTCATCCAACCCTAAGTGGTGAAGTTTGTGGCCGGCAGCCCTCGGGGCCAGCTCTGCAGCAGCATGGGGCCTGGGATCATGGTCTCCCCTTGTTTTTTCATGTCCAGGGGGAGCCCGGAGAGCCAGGACCCAAGGGAGGATTGGGGAACCGCGGCACTCGTGGGGAGACGGTAAGGTGCCAGTGCCTGGGGGCTATGCAGAAAGGGAGGGAGGAGGCAGGTGACTGAGGGCCACTTCCTGTTGTATCAGGGACACGATGGAAAGGAGGGGCACCTGCTCCTACAATGCTTTCTGGATGAGCCCTACTGCATGGGGGAGGCAGGGGAGATGGGTTTTTCCTGGTGAGGAAAGCTGGGACACCTTCCTTTTAGGACCTGCGCTGGATTCCAGGGATCTTTTGTACAAAGAAGTAAATGTCCCGGACTTACATTTGAATTGGGGATTTTTTCTTTTTCTTTTTTTTTTTTTTTTTTTTTT